CCCCCCGCCCTAATAAAACAACATTATTTGATTAAACACAATAGAAATTAACTGGTTAAATGGACAGATGCAACTCTCTTGTTGTCTTTAGGTGACTTTTACCTGATTTAAAAGTTTGCAATGTCATATGTGCAAGTTTAAGCATATTTGTTGAAAATGCAGGGTTTTAGAACATAAATCCAATGGTAGACTTAAAGTTACACCCTTGGCTACTTAGATGTACAATCAACAATAACTTGAAAGTACATTAAAACCCCAGTGGTTCATGATATATTTTACTAAAACACAGATAATGTCAACTCCAACTGGTAACGCCAAAGTTATAAGCAAAGGTTTTGTGTAATGAGTGGTTCTCAGTGTGCTGAAGATGACTCTTTTAGCTAATACGACACCACACTTTGGCTTAATATAACTGCCTTAATTTAAAGCATTGTTGTGTATATGTTTCATTAGCTGAGGTGGCTTTTTTGAATCAAGTTGACTTAAAGGTAATCAGTTGTAGATATGCATCTAGTTACTTTCTGAAAGTTTCATTAAAATAATTAATGTAAACCATGAACCATAAACAGTATAAAAAGTTATCAGATGTATTGTTGTGATGAGTGGATCATCCCCATTCAACCAGGAAAAGCTCCCAAAATTTGTGCATTCAAACATTGTTTTAAAAAACAAGTTTTTTTTCACCTTAGAAAATAGACAATAAAAAAACCACTAAAAGCCCCAAATTATTATTACATTCATGACAATAATGAATGMATGTAAACCTCTGACCTCAGCTGTGAAATGCTGTCTTAAACTTGAGCCACTAGGATATAGTTTCAGTCTCTGCTTGCAGTCAGCTGAAAGAAGAGATGAGGACACAAAAAAAAAAACTTCAGAAAGAGAGAGCTTAGGAGGACTCCCCTTCAGGCATCCGAACAAGTCTGAACTGTTCTGCTGCAGCGTGAGCTCTGCTCTTCCCTGCGAAACAAAGCGGCAGCCTCTGGAATCAGAAACAGAGCTGTRGGGATGCAGCAGGAAGAGTTTGGTTCTTCTGTGACTACGGCGTTGCCCTGTTCTTTGTGAAAGTTGTTTGTGTTTGGAACTGGGAGCAGAGCTGAGTGTGGCCGCACGCTGCAGGCACAGCGTGGACTGGATGCTCCACAGGTGGAGAAGTGGACAGCTGCAGTCTGTGGTCCGGAGCACGGAGCAGAGAGTCTGAGGTGAGCTGCAGGTTACACAGCCTCTTTATGCATGCAGACATCATCCACAACCTGCAAACTGCTTTAAAACTTCAAAYGCTTTTAAAGTTGTACCTTTTTCATAATGATTGATCTTCCTTACAAATATTATAATATACTTGGATTATTCTCAGTGTGATCACATTTTAAATTCATGCAAAGAATACAAGCATGCTGACCTCAGCTGAACATATGTATCAATAGAGCATAGACAGTCCCTATATTGCATGTAGGACCCCCCTCCCTCCTCCCCAACACACACACACACACACACACGCTTCCTCTTGTGCTTCAATGTCCTCTCTGTTTCAGTGATCTGTTCTTCATCAGAGTCTTCCCATGACTTTGTTGTGGCTTATCTCCCACAACAATAAAAATCAAAGGGGTTTTACTGTCACTGAACCTTTCCTGTATCAGACTTTTCCTCCCTGCCTCATCCTCGCTCTCCTACCTTTAATTAGCTACAGTCAGACATTGTAAAGGGTTTGGTGCCACTCTGGCAATAAGTGACTCTGGACCGATCCTGAAACGTGTCATGTTTGCAGAACTGCTGCTGCTCACTGTAGGTTTGGTTTTGTCTTTAAAATAAAAAAAAACCTTTATGATTAGGATTTCTAAAAGCACATTTATTGTGTTTGTACTGGTATGTAGCCAAGGTTGTTGCCTTCTGTCCTCTCATGACTCACTCGTGAGAATGATAACCCTTCAAAGAGGAATGTCGTTACTTTGATTCAGTCCATTTGGCTTTTGTTACTAATGATGCAAATCTTGTGAAATTCTTAAATGGGTCAGAGCTTTTTTTATTTTTTGATTTATTGAAGACATTCACAATAATGTGGATAAAATAGGCTTCTGCTTAGTTTGACTGAGTATAGATGATGATCTTTGGTTGAAAAGTCTCGATTAGTCGGGTCTGTTTTCACTAGAAGTGACTTCTGGATACATCAAATTCTGATGTGTGAAAAGACTTTTTCTGTCTGTGTAATTGACTCTGACATCTCACCCTTCTTTGAYTTCACTTGTGTTTCTGAGCTTGTGTCATGCTGGGGGGGCGACTGGCTCTCAGACAACATACCCACCCCCACATCAGGGAATGAACCACAACCCTGTCATCCTGCCTGATCTTTGATTCCAATAAAAAAAGAGACTAGTCTATAAACAGCAACACTGGGTTTTTATCATTAAATTGGGATTTCCTTTCCTTTTAAAGCTGTTTCATTCAGTCAACAATGAGATGCTAAAAAAATTGATCCATTTTAACCAAATAAGATTTATCACATTATACTACAAGCTTAGCCCGAGGCAAGGGAGTGGTGTGTGGTGGAGCTAATTTCAGCCGAGACACGCCATCTGATCCAAACATGCTGAGAAGTGGATGAAAGAACGACTCAACACTGATCAAACACTGCTTCTAAATGAGTATTAATAGATTCAGATAAATTCAACAGGTTGGATTTCTGTTGTAGAGATAATCACTTCCACATTTTGAGATCACTGAATTTTCTGTATTTTGATATCAGTTCAGATCAGAATGTTTTCAAAATAATATGAGCTGTACCTCTGCTTGAAAATTAAGAAACAAATTTACCTGACAGAAGTGAACATCCCAGACACAGTCCTCATTCTTCAGAATCCAGCTCTTTCTGCTGGTCGCAGATAGACTCTTATTTCTACTCCCCCTTCTCCCACCTATTTGAGCTTCAGCCACAATGCAGGGTGGGACCACTTTCATTCAAATTTGTTAACAAGCCACTAATCAAATATAAACCTTTCAGTCCAACAGCGTGGTTTTGAATCAGGTGGTCATGGGGACATGTGAATTCTTCACTGAGGTCTCTGAGAGGCTTTAATTGATTGAACTGGTTTCATTTCTTAGTTGGTGGAAAAGCAGGTGTTCTTCATAGAAAATGATCATTTATAATTTCCAGTTTTAAAACCTCACAGTAAACTTGCATAAATAAACAGTAAGTTGATTTCAGTCTGCTTTCAGTTAATGTTCTGTCAAACTGTCAAATTATAAAATGTTTTGTTCTTTCCCACTGGGATACAGGCACAAATAAACATAAATCTTCATRTTCTATTTAAACTTGAGGTTCATTAGAGGAAGGTCATTACCATTCTGCTGTCAGAAAAGTGATTATATAAAAATACCAACAGAATTCTGTGTCCTCACAGATTTGAGGAAGAAGATTGACATGAATAGTAAGCTGATGTTAATTGTGAATGGATTATACTTAATTGTATTTTACAAGTGACAAAAACTTTCATACTTTTCATCTGGGAAAAAAATACGGTTTTCATTTGAAGCATAAAAAATTTATGAGCATGTTTGGGACAAAAAAAGACTGGAACTTAAGATTTTTGTGGTGTCTGCAATATTTTTAGTAGGAAAACAAACCTTTGCACTAAAAGAACAAAAAGTGCTCCCAGATGACTTTTTATAAGTCTATCTTAGTCTAACTAAAACAATAAACATAAAAGAAGGACTTTTTGTCCTCTGGGAGTTGGCAAATGTTTGGGAAGAAGAAAGAAAAGAATATATAATWTTTTTCACAGCAGGAAAGTAGTCAAAAAGAGCTACTAGTTGTTTATAATGAGACTAAAATCCAGTTTCAGAATTTTTCATTTAATTTTTCATTTACAAAGACAATATTATTACTAACTGTTAGTGAAAATTTGTAAATGTGTGGAAACTCAGTCAGGAATATTGTTTTTTTTTTGTTGTTATTTTGCTTACTGCAAATTTTCTAAAAATCTGTCAGCATGTGTTTATGTCTTCTCACATTTATGAATTTGGACATCAGTTTTAGATTTTAGTCTGGGATCAGTTAACAATTAATCAAAACGTCAAACCATGAAATGTTCTGTTCATTCCCACTGAGTTACAGGCACAAAACAAAAAKGTTTCTCTGCTGTTTTTGTTTTTCTGCCGATCGTTAATTTTTGTTTATTTATTTTTGAGTTATGTGTTCTCAGTACATTAGATTGTGATTTTACTGTAATTGCTATAACAGCACAGATAAGATGGAGTCAGATTAAAATCTGATTKTATTTGTTTTACTGGTTTGTGTCCCAAAAACCTACAAACGAAAAATGTTGTTTTCTAAATCTATCTTTTTTACTTGACAAGATAAGTCATGAAATAATTTCTCTCTGAGATCATCATTACTGTTTAGTGCAASTTTTATGAAAAGTTAAGTCCTGTAGAAGGATCCTTTAAAGAGCTGCAGTATCTATGCTGTAGGGTGTTTGGAGAAACAGAGTTTAATTGTGACCAGATGGAAGAGCTAACAGCTAGTTTGAATGTGACCAGCACCTAAATGAATTGGTGTCACCTTAAAATAACTCCACACTCTAAATTTCTTTGTGGTTTATGCAAACCCATCTTTATAAAACTTTGAGTTTGATCCAAAGTGAGGTTGTTCAAAGAGTCATTTCAACAGATATTATAACTCTACTTCAAAAGATATGAACCATCCACAAAATTGATGCAAAACTTATATCATCTGTGTCTAATTTATGATAAGAAAACCATCTGGAGTAGAAAAGGATAAAAATWGTTCAACATGTCGCAAATGTTAACAAACTCCAAGACTAATGATCAAAAAGAGGAAGAAYAATATTACCAGAGAGTGATGGAGAGCTGTTTCTAAAAATATATRTACCTCAACCTATAGTAACTTTGAGACTGGATCAACAATTGTTTGAGAGTGTGACATAAAGCCCGGAGCTGAAACAGACTGATATAACATGAAACAATTCATCACATCGTCAGACAGGCTTGTAAAACAAAAAATGTAGTTGAAGGTAAGAAGTCTGACAGGCGGGATATCAAAGATGCTGCATGGTGAGAAGCAAGCACAGGCAGGAAAAATAACTACAACTGTAGRAAAACACAAGACTGGATGACAAATAGCCGGATTTGGATTTTTCAACAGATGCTGCAGAATAAATCACTAWTGAAGTACAGCTGCACAGGAAATCACCACGATCAGATGAACAGCACCATGAGCAGTTTCAACCAGGATGATTAGAGAGTCGATGAAGGAGCAAAACCATTTGATCCAGTTAGTTACAGCAATGAAACTAAAAATAAAACTGACCTGAAGGACAAACGAGATTTGTTAGAGCTGCGGCAACAAAGACTGAAGAAATATGAACATTACAATTTATAATTGTACTTTTTTTTGTAGGTTGTGAAGATGTGGAGGTGGATGTTAACTGTTTTGTCCCTGCTGTCTTTCATGAAACATACTGAAGCTCAGGGTAAGATCCACATTTTTATTGTTCCTCCAAGAGGAGATAAAACAGTTACTATACAGTCTCATGCAGCACTCACAAAATTATTAATTAGGAAAAAAATGTGTAGTTTAGTTCTCTTGTTTTTCTTCTGAGAACAGATACAAAGGTTTGAATCAAGAACCAGTCACTATATTCACCTTCATACGTATTTTGCTTTCTTTCAACAGTCTTGTGAATCATTAGCTGCCACTGACTTTATTTTTAGACTGGATATTATTTGCATTTTATACTTACCAAACACCTTTAATCTTATCCAGTTAATAATAAGAACTATGAAATACTACTACTACTACTACTACTACTACTACTACTACTACTACTACTACTA